AAAAAATTACCTTAAAGGATATCTCACAGGCCCTAAAAGAATAAATTTAATTGGAGTCTCAAAAGAGCTGGAAAAGGAACAGAAAAAACAAAAGTCAGGGACCTCCGTTTTTCTGGAACCATGTGTCTTCTATTTCTGCTTCTCTCTGTTTACCCACTTTATTCTTTCCACTGCACATCAATCAGCCTTTTCTATTTCATGGCACAAGGAGCCGTTGACAGTTTTGGATGATTCCCAGGTCAATGTACAGTTGAGTTCAACTCCGGGCTCCCTGGATCTGAAGGGTGGATCTGATTGGTCAGTGGTCACTAAAAAGTTGCCTCTCCCCACACAGGGCCCTGGTCCACACAACTGTGATCAAGGAGGTGTGAGACCATTTAGTATACAGCGTGTAAGGCTCTCCTTCAGGGCCTTGGAGAGGGTGGATCCCTAAGAACAGTGAGGAGGGTTAGAGCTAGCTGCCCTCAAAATCATAGCCTCCAGATAGTAGTAACAAGAGTAGTAGCATTTTACATAAAATCGGCTGGGATTATATTTTCCTGTTCAACTGGATATATGCAAATGCAATGCGAGTAACTTGAAGATACCTTTGTGGAACTTTCCTGAATTCATATATCCAAGTATGACTCTTAGGTCAATGTCTGATGCCCCAAAATGATGTAGTCTATAAATGATGCTTTCTTTAAAATTTCCATCCTGGATTTTACGATGCAATTTGACGTGTACCTTAGTCACAGACTTGTAATTCGAGGTCAACTCTTAAGTTAAAAGTCAGCCAATGTCCCTGGCAAAGGAATGATGCAAGTGAATGGAGAGAAGAGTGGAAAGGCTGAGGGTAAGAAGAGATTTTTTTGGATTGCCTGTAGATTTTCATCATGGCCTTAGTTCAGTTGCCATTATTAGCCTGAGTAATTAACAGCCGGCTGGCTGGATTTCCTCTTATTCTCAGGTTCTGTCATCTTTCAAGTGAATTTAGCCAGGGCTGATCTTACTGAATAGATTTCTCACCTAGACCCCGGTGAATTCCAGGCAATGGCAAGTGAAAAACAACCAAAGACAACAAAGTGGCATCTTTCTCCCTTTGCAGTGTCCTACTCTGACAGCTCACCTTGGGCCACAGCACCTGCCTGTCCATGGCGATAATGTGATGTCATTAGGTACCATAATGACAAAGGTCCAGTGTGTCAGCTTAGGTTAAAAATATGTCTCTAGTAGCTTTCATTTCTATCATCTCATGTGTTCTGTTCCTTTTAATTCACAGTGCCCTTCCCCCCATTATTTACATGTCTGCATCGCTGTCTTAAAAAAATTTTTTTTTAAATGTTTATTTCTTTTAGAGATAGAGACAGAGACAGAGAGCACACTCCTGATCAGGGGAGGGCCAGAGAGAGAAAGGGGGACAGAGGATCCAAAGCAGGCTCTGCTTTGACAGCAGAGCTCCCCATTTGGAACTTGAACTCAACGAACCTTGAGATCATGACTGGAGCTGAAGTCTGACACTTAACTGGCGGAGCCACTCAGGCACCCCTGCATCTCTATGTTTATATTCTGTTCATCTTCTATATTTTCTTGTGAGATTCTTGAGGTAGGTTGTTTATTCTTTCAGCAATCAGTGAGCTATTTGGGAAGTGATTGGTTTTGCTATTTTATTTGCTGTGCCCCTTAAAGCACAGCCCTCGAAAGGAGGGCATGAAAACATACACGAGGGAGAAGCCTTTGGCTTTAACCACTTGCTATGCTTAGTGTATTAGATATATGCCACAAAATTCCACTGAATTTTATTCAGTTAAAAAAAAATTACAGTTAGCAAGACACACAAACAGGCTGCTATAGATTGAATGTTTGTGTCCTGGCTCCAGCCCCCAACCCCCTGATCTCCAAGGTGATGGTATTTGGTGATAGGACTTTGGGAAACGATTAGGTCATTAGAGTGTACCTTCCTGGATGGCTCTCATGCTCTTATCAAAGATGCTCCAGAGAACTCCCTCACCCCTTCCACCATGTGAGAACACAGCAAAGAGAGCCATCTGTGAACCAAGAAGCCTGCTCTCACCAGACACTGAATTTTCCAGTGCCTTGATCTTGGACTCCTCAGCTTCCAGAACTGTGAGAAATAAATGTTTGTTGTTTATGTCAATGATATTTTCCTTATAGCAGCCCAAACAGACTAAGACACGGACATTCGTCATTTCCAAGTTTAGACATGTTCCTAACACCATCAGACATCCCTTGTCCCCTCCCATCACCCCCCACTCAGCATGAGGCAGCTTTTCTGTACTCAGCCCTTAGGTAGGTGCTTTTCCTATTAGTGCCTTTTATGCCTCCAGATTATCCTTCTGGCCAGACCTGTTAATACATTTGCACACAGGATTTGCATATTTATTTGTTATCAAATACCTGATACTGTGTGACTCTCAAAAGTGTACCATTCCCCTTACCACACAGGCTCTCAATGCTTCAGGATCATTTATAAAAAACAAATCACTGAGACTCCCGTAAACACCAAGAGCTTAGGTGTATATGTCCCTCGAACAGATGCATGTACTTATTTATTTTTATCACTGTGTGCCCAAGCTGAATCAGAGAGCAGCCACTGTGCTTCTTGTTAGGTAGATGCCCCAATAAACAGCAATAACTCAGAGAGCCAGTAAATGAGTGCATTTTCCCCTTTCATTAGAGTTCTAATTTATTTGATGTTTGTAACTAGTGGGGAGAAAGGAGGTATGAGACTGGAGAGCAGGCTAGATCTCTTCTGGGGGTAGAGGTAACATTTTGTGGCTCTTTGTATTTCCATCATACTGCTTATTTTCCTTTGTAAACTCCTTTCAGAAGTCCCTCTCCCCCCATTTCATGAAATTCTTCAAACCACAAGGAATCCATGTTAAAAATATGGCTGTAGCTCATTCTTCCAAAAACCAAGCTGGACCCACATTGACCCCATAGTTGCCAGCTCAGTTTCTATGGAATCAGAAGCATCTGATGATACAACTTCCAGTCTCCTGATTTTTTTCTTTTTTTTTTCCCCCCTCCTTTGTCCACTCTTGTATTTCTCTACATTACCTTTTGGACTGCCAATGCCCTAGATTTGCCCATGGGGAGCTTCGTGGATGGCACTCAGCAGCAAAGGGCTGGATGCCTCTGAGTTTGAGCTATAACTCTCCAGTTTTCTAAAGTTTTTTTCTTTGAGATTTATTACAGTGAAAGGTTACTAAGACACTGTAATTCTCAGAATATGACTGTATTTTATTCTAAATTCAAAAATTACCATGGCCTCGTATCTATGTGTCCACATCTATGTATCTTAAAAGCTGACAATTCTTATGCAGTATAGATTGGGTTTTAGATCAAAATTTGTTCAATAAATATTTATCGTGTGTCTTTACATACCAGGAATGAGAATACAGTGGTGAAAAACAGAGAGGTCCCCGGTCTCCTGGAGTGGGCATTCGAGGAGAATGGGTTCCACAATTCATTTACTCCATAAGTCAGAGAGAAAAGCAGTGTTAGAAACTGGAAGGGTAGGTATTTGCCGTGTTCTCTAGTACACATACCATGGCCACAGATTTGAAAAAAAGTTTTCATCACAAAATATTTCAATTACTTCTATGCAGGAAGTACATGCTCATTATTTTCTTCAGACTAGAAATTACTTTATCCCTCTTTTCTTTGAAGTTCTCTTAAATCTGTTGTTATTCAGTGTCTCTATCCAATTTCTCGTCAAATTGCCCTATTTGTAGCTTCCTAACGTTAACACCTCAATGCTGAAATGAAGCCTATAAAATGACTTAGGGGCTTAAACTGTGTGTGAGGCAGAACTGGTATTTAAGTCCTTAATGAAATTATGAGCTTTGAAAGTGTTGCATTTTGAGTTTACAGGGGTCACTCCTCTTTTTTTTTTCTTTTGCAGAGGGCGGTTAAGGAAGGGTGAGGAATACTCTTACTACACATTTATTACATTTATTGTCTTCTCTTTTAAAATACAATTTTCATGAACTAGTGATTTATGAGCAGTTCACACTGCTTGAAGGCATCTGTAAAGTTTGTGTATGTTTTTCCAATTCCCAAAGCAGTTTCTTTCTACTGGTCTAATTCTCGCAGGCAGAAAAGCTAAAATATGTCTCTCATTGCTTCCCCGATCTCTTGCCAGAAAAGTGAAAGGGGGCGGGGGACAAGAAAATAGAGAAGAAAAGAGCATGAAGGTGGAGAGAGGGAAAAAGGAGAAGGAAGGAGAAAAATGAAGGAGCATTGGAGCGCTGGAGCACTGATTGCGGACCAGCACATCCAGAGCGGCCACAGCGCGGAGCCACCGGCGCCCACTGGTCCCCAAAGCTGCCAATCGAGGCGTAATCCTGTAGGAATTTCTCCCGGGTTTAGCTGGGAGTCACATTGCCGCCTCCTCTCCCCCTGACGCCCGGAGGAGCTGGGAGAAGCAGGCAAGGGAGGGAGGGAGGGAGTGGGAGGAGGAGGAACGGAGGAGGAGGAGGAGGAG